TCCTTCTCTTCCCTGCTCGGCCCGGACTAGAGGCGGCGGTGTGGGATGAAAGGGGGGATCCCGAGCGGGAGTTGGATGCACACTGCTACAGAAGACTTTTCCTCGGAGCTGTTGCTGCTAAAGTCTCAGATCCCGACTGTGAACAGGGTGGGTTGTCTTCTTCTTCAAAGATCTCAGGTCTGAGTGAGTCTCCGGTGTACGTGTATATATGTTACCCGTAACATATATAATATATTGCATAGCTATTAATCTATTCCCCCCCGAAAGTGGCCAAAGTCTTTAATAGGAGTTACTCTATATGTGGAAGCAAAGAAATCTTCTTTCAAGTGGAGCTGCAGTTTTGCTGAATAATCACGTGTGAGTTAGGGGCGGGCTCTTGGCAAGGAGGTTTTTTACGAGTATTTACTACAAGGTCTACTCCAGAAGATTAACCATCCCAATCCTTCTGTCAGTCTCCGATGCCATGCCTGGTTAAAAAAAAAAAAAAAATCTCATCTTTTTTCCGATCGTCAGTCACCCTAAAGAATGGCCGAGCCTTCTGGGAACGAGCTGGCGTCCGCGGCTGCCAAGGGGGACCTAGTGCAACTTACTAATTTGTTGCAAAAGAATGTAAACGTCAATGCACAAAATGGATTTGGGAGGACTGCGCTGCAGGTTGGTATCCAGAGAGGGAGAAAATATTTCATCACTGGTACCTACGTGACCCGGGTTTCCAAAAAAGACAACGTTTTAAACAGGCTGGTGGATGAAATTCGAGTGGTTTTTCAAACTCGTTGGATGCCATATTTTATAACTTTAGTGGCTCCAACTCCCTAAAATGACGTACTTGAAATAAAACTGGTCAAACCATTATTTCAGTCGGGGATCACCCTCAATGTCAAACGGGCTACGAGTTTGCTAATATTTTGTAACTTCGTGGGGAGGAGGCAAGGAACGAAAGAGCTGAGATGAAAAGAAATCAGCTTAGGTGAGCAGGATTTCATAGCAGGTCTGTAAACACAAATGTGCTGTTCTCTGAAGCTTAGGATTTGTCTCTTTTTTTCTCCTTTTTTTCCTGCGATATGCTTTTAAAGCGTGACTTGTTTCGGTTCTGGGGTCTGCTGTAGATGGTACTTTTCCTTTATACGCTGTTTGTGAGGAATGACCTTTCTCATTGGAAGCATGCTGCTCAGAACCGAGGACCTTCGATGTACATTAAGAGTTAGCCCTACGAGTTAGGGCTCCAGCTGAATCACTTGCCTTTTCATTCATAATTAAGGCTTAAAAATTTGCTTTTTTAGATCGGCTAGCAGGGCACTGGTTCCGGCTATTTCCTTTCTGATCGTATAGGGAGCTATGTCCTAATTTTTAAGTGTGTGGCTGTGCAGGCAGGAGTTGGAACTCGTTCAACTGCTAGCTATCGGAGCTGATGAAAGATTTTGCTTTTAGTAATATCAGATAATGATGGCGAAAAGGCTAGAGTAACTACCGAATAGTGAAAGAAGTGATTTATAAATCCGGAGAAAAAATGTGTGGTTATTTGTGCTGAAGGTATAAGTAATGAAATGTGGAAGTGGAGCTACAGGTCTTTTTAATTTCACACATTAGAAAAATCGTTTGTTAACTCCTCTCCCCCCCTCCCCCGAAACCGTGATAATCATTTCTGAAATTGGGTTTTTAAACAGCATATAGCTTGCGAATGTGCTCGAGATATTTACAGCTTTTTTGGCTTAACATCAAAATGTTAGAGCTGGAAAATAAGCACCTCTTGC